TGTTACATGTAGTATCATGGTTGTATCGTCTCTATTTTTAGTCCTTATTCCTGCGATTTTGCATTCTCAGGCCAATTTTGGGAAAATAAAATTGTGGTTTGATAATAATTGGGTATATGAAATACCCTAATAAATATAGTAATCAGACAGTGTAATCAGTTAATTGTGATCTAACATTTGGTATGTTTAAAATATTCAGCTATTTATGGTACTACTTCCAACAAGATCCCATTGCTACTATGAACTATTGGGATACGCGTTGTGCATTCTCAAAGTATTATATGTTTATATGACTTACCTATGTCACGATCGCAATGTGATGGCACAAAATTTGGAATACAAATCATTCCCCGCTCTCAGCAAAATAGGTATGTACCTGATGCCCCTCACTACAAAGTAGTGTGTGACGAGGGGGTCGATGAGACTGTTTAATAGGAACATGGAAGGGTTGTGTGTACGCCTGGGGCCAGGAAGAGGTGTTTGGTTTTTGGGTGTGTAGTAAACTCTTTGTCTATCCGTCTTTGATTTTCTTCCCTCCTGTTCGGGTTTTGGCTCTTTTCAGATATACTGTTACGTTAGCATTCTCCTCGACGCGCTGCTGCTGGATCCTTACCGTAAAATAACGTCGTTTACTTCAGGCCTAGGAAGATGTGGTAGAGAAGCAGACAGATGAATAACCGACAAGAAGGGGTGGGCCAGACAGAGAATTACACAAAGATCTGGGTTTTCACATGCTACAGAAGAGGAACGATACTGGGACGATTGAAAACAGGTAAAAGAACAAAGAGATAAGGACTTGAAGATGCATGATAAAAGAAAAATGGTAATATATGTGACTGACATGGCTGCCTAATAATCAATTCAAGATACTTCCGACCACTCTCAAGACCGGACTTTATAAGTTCCTGACTAAGAGATCAAAGCAGGAGTAAATTTTAATTAGTTTAACCAGAACATAGAGAATAACAAAATTGAACCCCTCAATATTTATTTCCGTCTCATATTATTCTTTGTCTTGGGTATTTATACTCTGGATAAAGAATACCGGCTTAATATAGTAAGTAACGAATAATCTCTATTGATTTTTGGATTGGCACATTTTAGCCAGTAATTCACTTTGATTATATGAGTAACCTTGCTGTCTGGGATATGACATGTAATTGTGGAATCTGGTATTTATAGGGAAGATGATATGTTACATTCTGTTTGCCCCACATTTAGTGTTCAAGCGCATGATTTCAGAGAGAAGAGAAAGTAAATAGAAAGAATTAATTATCATTTTATTAAGCGAGAGAATTATATATTAACATTTACAATATATGCTAGCCAGTAATTCCTTTTTCACTTCGAAGGTTCTTATGATTTCTCCTCAGAGGGTTTCTGTTGTTTCTCACATTTATGATATAATTAGCCGTGAGGTGTTTAAGGAGCTAGAGAGGATGATTTATTAGATAAGTAGTCAGCAGTTCAGCATGTTGATAGACCACCAGCTGATTAATGTACTAAGGGCTGAAATGGTAGGGTTCTCTCCACCTGGGAGGATTAGCATAGAACTTAACAAAAAATAAAGAATAAAATATCGCTTGGTCTATTTTTTTTTGGCCTTTCACGTTGAACATTATACATATTAGGTTTACCCATCAGAACCCAAAACCCCTCTCAATCAGCATAGATATAAATCGCAATTAGTCCAGTGATTCGATATACAGCTCCACGCCTCTCTCGACTTCATGGATAAGTTATTTTGGGGCTCTTTCATCTTGCAGTCTCAGCGTTGTACTTTATTTCACTGACTACTTGTAACTGCATTTTTTCTCCATCACTCTAAAGGCGTCTTGTAGACTCGCCATTCCCAACCTGTCGTGCGACTAGGGATGTAACGGTAATGAAAATTTAAACCTCACGGTTTATAGTGATCCCAAAAATGATCCATGGTTTTTCGGTATATCACAACCGGTATTATTTTGAAAGTGTGTTCATATGTTCAGAAAGCACTGATAGGCCTACACAACTGAAATAGTTTCGGCAAAAAAGTGTAACAGTGTTTATTATATTACAAAACCTTATCCAAAGCATCAAAATGTAACAAACTAATCTTTGCAATCCCCCACTGTCCCTCAGCATTCCTTATTAGGGGGGGGGGTAAAATATCCATTCATCAATGGCATTTGCAATAATATTTTTTCGCGCAATTCAATAATCGTTCATTAAATCCTCTTGAATCGATGTCAAGCCCCTGGCCAGTGGCGCGGTGAGAACACTTTGTGTGATTTGCGTTGTACCCGGACGTGCCGCACTCGACGCAACCACAACAACAACATAGCACCGGAAGAAGGTACGATAGTGTTAAACGCAGGCGCCTTCAACTTAAAAGGCAGTGTAAACCCGGAGCAGCAGGAAATAGAAAAAAGTAAGGTAGTGTGTAAGCTGTGCGCAAGGCAGAAGCTAAAATACTGGGCAATACACAACAAATTAGGCCAACACCGGTAATCGTTACAGTCCCTACGCGCGAACAATGTGACGTCACGGAGCGGCCGTATACTTTTTACCTGATTGCGTGTGGTGGTCGCGACACTAGTTCAGCTCTTCTCCTGAACAGAGGTGTCAGCAACTGAGGAAAGCTACCGACCTTGCTATTCTAGCAGTAGAAGAAGAAGAAAAAGGATGAAACAATGGCGACCTCTTTTTTGATTTTCCCAAAATTGGTCAGGGAGGTTCTTCCAAATTTTCCGGCATATGGCCTCCTCTTTTTTCCGCAACATTCAGGGCGAATTTCTCCGCCATGAATTCTGGCATCCTCTGTGTTCGCTTCCATTGAAGGATCGTAGCAGATGCCTGTAGAGGAGCACTTGCTCGGAAAGCTTGCCCTCAAACTCGTCTAACTTCCTGTTTCTGCTTTGGCGTGCTCAGCTGAAAAAAAAAAGAGTGGTGCGCGAGCGGGCCAAAATCCTGGCGCACCAGCGAGATCTACATCATTTTGACGTCACAGTGTCGTGCAACAGGTCGTGAACGGCGAGCATACTGGGGCCTTTAATCGTGTGCACGCAATCCGCCTTGAGACCCATTGTGATTGAGCTTTTGGGGCAGTACCACATAGACTGTGGAACACTCTGCCTGCACCCTTATGGTCTAGATTCCTTCAAAAAGCCGCTGAGGATATACCTTTTTAGATGGGCGTTTGGGTAACCTACGTGCACCACTTTTAGGTATTTGTGTACTTTTAGTGTGTGCGTACACAATAAAAATTTAATAATCCAGCCCATTAACATTTAAATGTTGATTAATGTGCACTTATAAACAAATAAATAAATACCTTTATTTTCCACCACACTGGCGGAAATGGGATTCCATACATTCTGCATCTAACCCTTTGTGTTAAAAGGTAAACAATAAAACAGGATGTAGGCTAGCCTCTGCCCTTCACACACACGCTATATAAAAAAGGACACACACATGCAGTAAGAGACACATCTGTCTGTGTCTCACTGCAGGGTTAGATGGGGAGGCTATATGAGGAACAACCACTGCATCCTCTGGGAACATTAGCACTGCACAGACTCCACAACCACTTGCATCCATCATGGCCACACTGAAAGCCTTTCCCTGTTATGTATGCTAATTATATACAGCCATAATTACACAGAGCGCACAGCTCCGTTGATGATGAGGAAGAGCATTTAGAAATGGCGAGTCTCGTTTCAGGCGAGAGGGAGAAATATCAGTTCCTGAGGAGAATAAACTGAAAAGACGGGCGGAGGTGATGGATGTCTGGATACCATATAAACATATTGTACTGGCCAACTTCACTGAAACATAAATGCTCGGACCAAAAACTGTCCACTGTGCTCACATCACACATTAGAGCCAGCAGTATTTATTGTGGCTCTGGGGACAGGTTACAACCATCATCCATGTACTAATCTTATGCTTCTGTAATTACAGAGCACACAGCCTCATGCATAATCCATCAGATGAATTATACACAGGATCATATCTGGTTTCTGAATGAAGCCCACTCAGATGTAAACATTCAGGGTGGGACATTACTTGCTGCACATAACTAGCATCCTTTCTAGCTGCTGGGGCGTGGCTGTCTGTGTGATATACAGTATAGTGTGCAGTATAGTGTGTATACAGTGTGCATCTTACACACTGATAATTATACTGGTTTTATGGGAAATGCTCAGCTGTTTGTGTGGCTCCTATTGAACAAATGTCACGAGCTGTAATAATTAATCGAGATATGACTGCAAACACGAGTCTGTCCCAGGGGGTCATTAAACTGCTCACATTGTCAGCTATATATAATTAAGGCATGGGATTACTGCTTACATTGTCAGATCAATTAGAAAGGTCTGGCCTGCAGGTTCAAACGTGCTGCAGAGGCTCATTTTAAATCCACTTTCCAGTCTTCAGTAATGGAAAGCTGAAACTGTTCATTACACACTATGAACCTAAGTGTTAGACAGAGTTCACTCACAAGCCTTAGCGCTCAACTCTGATTTATTGCTCACATTGTATTTTTATAGTTATATAGGCTGTTAGTGTAGCCCATATCAGATTCCAGTGTGGATAGGTCACTGTCCTCAACTGACCTGTAGGTGCAAAAGAACAAGCTTAGCTTAGCAAAATGTATGAAGACAAGGACACGTTTTGACCTAGTGGTGGGACTACAGGCTGCTGTGATAAAATAATGAAACAGGGTTCACCATGCTG